TCTGAAAGCCTTTTTCGCCTTCCGTCTTTCATTATAATTTTGAGCTAGTCAGTGGCGCACATTGTCTCAGCGCGTGCTCGTGCCCTTTTATGAGTCATTTGCAGTTGTTGTAGTTGTAGTTGTAGTTGTAGTTGTAGTTGTAGTTGTAGTTGTGTGTCTACTATATGCAATTAAATTAAATATTAAACTTAATTACACGAACGAACTAACGCGCCGTGCAGCACGCAGCAGCTGAGTCCTGGGATCGTTGAGTCATTGAGTCGTCGACTCGCCGGCTTGTCGTCTCTCCGGGCCTGTCCAATATGACAACGCTCAATAATGCAACATGATTGTAAGAAGTAATGAAAGTCAATTGTTGCGAAGACGAGGCCTGGCCAAGAACGACACTGTCACTGGCTCTTTTGCCAGTTATAGTAGGTGAGCTCGCCCATACAAAGCTTTTTACCCCACGGCTCGGCTCTAACCGTAATGACAATGTTGCTCACATTTTGTGTCGCTGCCTCCTGCTGCTTGTTAATTGAATTTAATGTTGTTTAATTGAGACGAACGTGATTCTAACTAAAAGCGCTTTATGTTTAATTTAGCAGCAGCCAGGCAGGAATTCAATAGATGGCCAGTATTTCGTGCCATGCCATCTACTTAGTTGACATGATGGGCACTAATGCTTTTGAGTTGTTAAAATTCAAATTAATTGCTGCCAAGTCACAAGAAATTTCCATTTAAATGTGCGGCAAAGGCATTTAAATATTTAATATATTTATGGCAGCTGTCAGCAATTTCTTACCAGTTTATCTACAAAAATGAATTATGCATGCCAATGAAGAAGTTTGCACCAAAAATATGGCAACTATGTCACACGCTGCGTATGAGTAATGGTCTCGGATTCGATGCACTGGTCATTGCAATGTTTTCAAGGACATTTCCAATATTAAAAGCTGTTCGAGCGCAGCCCAGCGCGAAATTCAAACGCAGCTGCCGCCTCGCATTCGAAAGTACCAAACGGAGCAATAGGAGCTGCAAACAGCAAACGGAATCTCCAACAAGGACAGCTGTTGGAATTAGCGTACAGTTTGCTTTTTCATGCCAGCCATCATACGAAGCAACTGTCACAGCATCAGGCGCACTGTCATCTCGCACAGAATGTCAAAAAAAAAATAAAAAATCAAGCTGCATAATAAATTGAATTTCTTCTTGTTGGTCATTTGGAGCATCTAAGGCCGCGGGATAGACACACACTTGCAAACAAGCTTATGCGAGCCAGTCGAAAATAGTCAACTGGAAAATACCCTGTAAACCAGTTGGAAGTGTTCCAAAACAGAAGTTAAGTACCTGAGAACTACTCTTATCATTTTCTTGCATAATTCAGATTTATTTTAATGACCACTTTTGCTCAAACGAAATGACAGACAGAAAAAAAATGTTCAAAATACTTCATGTACTTAGATTACATTAAAATTAGGAGCTTATAAATATATCCCAATAATCCCTGGAATCAAATCGTTTCGAAGACAGACTAATCATGGGAATATGCCTTTTATATGGCGGATTTATAATTTAGATGGTGTACAAAAAACACCTCTAAGATCTCTCTCTTTTTCTCCCTCTCTCTCTCTCTCTCTCTCTCTCTTTCACTCTCATTCTCATTCTATCTCTCTCTATCGTGAAACCGTCGACGCCATCCTGGCCGCACACGTACGTTGTCCAACATAAAGTTAGCGACAAAATGCCACCAGACGCAAATGAAATTACCCCAAGCCCAGAAGCAGTAGCAGCAGATGCTATTGGAGCGACAAACTTGGACAGGAGCTCAAAAATCCAAATATCATATTTACAACATGCAACTGCTCGTACAAAGCGAATACAGCTTCCAGCATGCCAGGAATGCAATGGGAGAAAAAAGAAAGCAAAATGAAAACTGACAACTGCATTTTTATACCCTGAACCCATTGAAAATGTGTAAAATGGGTATTATGTTTTTGTGCAGATCTAGGTAACAGGCCGATTCCATATTCTTGAGCAGCACGTAAAGTCGAACTAACCATGTCCGCCTGTGTAAAAAATAGCTTAGGACTCAAGAAAGATATAAGAGCTAGAAAATATTTACAGATTTCAAATATTTTGCCAATTTTCTCAAAATTGAAAACTAATTTTCAAAGGCAGACCCTTACACAAGCAATGATTAAACTATAGAGGCCGAGTTTAATGCACTTTCCATTCGTAGTATGGCTTAAGGGAAGTAAAGGGAAGTGCATGTAAGTATATTTAGAGGGAAGCTAGAAAGTTTGTAACCAGCAGCTTACCCTAAGTTCGTTTGCTACGCTGGCGTTTATGCAGAAGAGAGACTGGAAGAGATAGTTTATTGTATTAGTCTGGCTGCAATGCGAGGTAATCAAATCGAGGCTCAAGCCTGCCAGGGAATCCAGAGCAAGAACCCAATGATAATTAACAACGTTTTTAACAGTAAGCAACAGAATGTGAAGTTTTGCTTTGCATTACTTTAAGATAAATATCACATGTCAAAAATAAAAGTATCTTTGTCTTTATAGAATTTTTCGTAATATCTGTAGCCTAGCCAATATACAGTATTTTCTCTGAAATGATCGTTTGAACTGCTAATTGCTTATTCATCTGTGTTTAAATTTTAATTTGGTCTGAAAGCTTTTTACCCCAGCTGCACATATACACAAATGTGTGTTGCTTAACTGATTGGCATATACACTACAACTTTGTACGCCTCGGGCCAGTAACTAAATTTGATATATAATGCCAAAACTTTTAATAACTCATTAAGCGCCACTTAATCGCTTTGTTACGTCACACAGTATATGCCCAAGGCGGATTGAGCTAAGTTACTGATAAAAACTAAACTATATTTAATATTTCGCTAGTTCTCTGTTACTTCCTTTCTCTTTCAAGCCAAACATGTTTGCGATTTATCACAGTGAAATTTAAATTGGCAACACGCCACTTGACAACAGCCCCAAACAGCGTCCCCTTCCCTTTGAGGCAACTTGTGCAATTTGTACAATTTGTTGGGCCAACGAGGAAACAAACTTAATGACGGGCATCCTCTTTATTATTGCCATAATAAAACCACACAATGGCCATGCTCAATAAATATTTAATTATAAAATGAATAGAAAAATTCTAATTACATTTTGTCATTGACTTAATAAGTGGCGACGGCACAGTGCTAGCCAAAATTCTGCATACCAACGCCAAAAAGAAGGACGCTCGTGAAAGCTAACGGCGAATATTTTAAGCTTTTATAACTACATTTACTATGCCATAATGTGCTTTAATGCTGCAAATTGAAATTTTAACGCAACAACTTACACACATTTTGGCGGTGCCTGGTGCCTGGTGCCTGGTGCCTGGTGCCTGCTCCCGGAACGTGGCGTATCCTAAACTATTTGCGGCCATGCTATGCGGTCAGCCTGTGGCCGGGCCACGTTACGCCTGTCGCCAGCTGGGCGCCACATAAGTTTGCGGTCGCTCCTTTTATTTCATTTTGCATAAGTTCCAAAGTACACATCATATATAATTAAAATCACAAAACGCTCAATTTCGCCTCAACGACAGCCATGCGAATACTCTGCCTAAGTAATGAACGCGGCAATTTGCTCTCGTGCGTGTTACAATACATATTTGAATTAAATTGTATGTTTTCTCACGTTATGTTTGTTGGGCTGCTTAAATTTAAAGAATTTGTTTCACAACACTTAAAGCATTTAATGTGCTTATTGGATCTGCTTTAAAGCTCATTTTCATTATTCAACACTTGTGCTGGAAGGCATAATATGGAAATTATATTTTGAAATATTACATATGTACACACATACTTGTATCTCGCTTTTTACATATATTACGTTTATCAACACTATGAATCTCCATTTTAGAATACATCATATGCACACGCACAGCATCAGTTAGTTTTTCTCAGGCTTACATCCTTTTCATTTAGCATCACAATATTTTCACGCTGTCTGTTTAAAGTACATTTCATTTTTGCAATCCTTTTATTTTTGGGTATAAACATTTTTTTTTCCGATATTCCAAATCATTATTCCTTAGTCCAAGGAAATACGTCTTACTTTTTCCTCTGAGTTCCTGCTCATATTTATGCAGAGATTTTTTATAAATCTTTATTATAAAAAAGGCCCATGGCAATTTTGTATACCAGGACCAGTAGGGTCCACACATTAGCCATAATTAAGTTTTATGGGCCTTGGATTTGGATATTTTGGCACAGTAAATGGACCTGAATGGTTAAGAGCACGCCGTCAGACCATAAAGCATTGGATTTGGCTTACATGCTGCAATAAAATTCACATAGTGACTGATGCAAATTTATGCCAATCCCTGGTGAGGTCTAATTTTTAGACGCGCATTTACAATGTTTTTGCCAGATTTGCATGCCGCAACAACAATTTGGTTTATAAGGACATGCCCTAAAAAAAATAAAAAAAATTATTGTGGCAAATGGAGCTGTGGGCATGTGGGTAAAAAAATAAAAATAAAACATACACAATTCATTTTCCAAATGAATTTGTTCCGCTGTAAGGGCCATAAATGCATTAAATTTATTGGAATGCGCGACAGCAGCATCAGCAGCAGTATAAGAAGAAGCACAGCAACAAAAAAAAAACTCGCTCATCCATTGAATGACAATAAATTATCAATTTTATTTTGACAACGCGAAAAATCCTGCTCCAAAAGAGAGGAACGAGCGCAAAATGTCAGACGAAATTGAGCAAAATATATTCAGGCGGGGCATTTGTGACAGGAAGTTTCAGTTGAATGGTTTGTTCCAGCGGCCGGTTCTGAATTGCCTGCATATATCCTATACATATGTATGTATATATATCGTATATATTCTTTGACAAGCAGCAGGCTAAAATGCACTCTGTGAGTGTCGTTGGACGTGACAATATTAATTTATATGTTTAATCGCAATAGCCCGAAACCTAAACGTGTATATGGCTTGACTTTCATTGCAGACATTTCATCTTCGTCAGTCTATGCACGCACTGCCCCTGATGACGTCGCCTTCTATTGCCCAGAGGAAGGACTATTTCCCGATGACTACGACTGTCGCATCTACTATCGCTGTGAGAAGCGTTCCGAGCATTACATCAAACCATACATATTTGCCTGTAGGGAAGGCACGGTCTTCTCGCGTACCCTGCAGTTGTGTATGCCACCGATGCTGGCCGGTCGTGGGGAGTGCGCCCAGTATATGAATGAAATCGATAGTAGCGTCGAGACCGACAGCCAGCTGGCGTTTGATGGGCTCGTCAGTAACCAGAATGGACATAATGCGATGCTTAACAGCGCCGTCACACCCGCCGCCTTGAAGCTGCACACCTATGCAACTGCAAATCAGTTGCCCACAAATTATGGACTGACAGGACTGAGTGGTGTTTCAGTCATATCCTTTTCGAGCTCATCATCTTTGCGCTCGGCCGGGGATGATGGTGTGGCGTGCGAGGATGACGGATTTATGAGTGATCCCAGTGACTGCACCGTGTTCTATCGCTGCATCTCCAATGGACGTGGCTATAATAAAATCGGGTTCCGTTGCTCGGACGGCACCGCCTGGGATGAGTCTCTGCAGTCGTGCAACCATATGTTTGATGTACGTGCTAATGGCGGTTGCCGCAATCAAGCTGCCCCGCTGAGCGATGACCAAACATCGACACAGTCATCCCAAACGAGCTATCAGAATACCACCTCATCGTCGTCGTCGTCAAACAGTCAGCAAAGCTCTTCGACAAGCTCCTCAACGTCCACGTCGTCTAGTAACTCCTCTTCCTCCAGCTCCTCAAATCAACAAGAATCAAGTTCAAATCAGGAGTCTTCCACATCCAGCAGTAATCAACAATCTACATCCAGCTCCAGCAACACACAGTCCTCAAGCAGTACAGAGAGTTCAGCCAGTAGCAACCAGCAAAGCAGCTCGGGTTCTGCAAACCAAAGCTCTGGAAATAATCAGTCCTCGAGCAATAATCAAAACACAGGTAGCAGCTCAAGCAGTAACCAGAATCAAAGCTCTAGCAATCAAAGCTCAAACAATAACCAGAATCAAAACTCTAACAGTAACCAATCTTCCAGCGGTAATCAGAGCAACCAAGGCTCATCAAGCAATCAATCTTCGAGTGGATCTGACAGCCAATCAAATCAAAATGCTATAAAACCTACTGCGAACGAGTGCGAGGATGAGAACACATATATTCCCGATAAAATGGATTGCGCCAAGTTTTACAGATGTCGCTTAGATGGCAATGGAAATTTTGAGAAGGTACCATTTACATGTGGTCCTGGTACTGTATGGGGTCAAGAGGAAAAAGTTTGCGTTCTGCCCAGCGAAGATCAAAAGAAACAATGCAATATACAATCTGGATCATCTAGTAGTGGAAATAATCAAAGTGGTAACAGCACCTCCAGTGGCAGCAACCAGAATGCCTCAACAAGTGGCAATCAATCGAGTACCTCCAGCTCCAGCTCCAACAATCAATCTAGCAATCAATCTGGCAATCAGCAAGAAACATCCGCATCAAACAGCAATCAATCTTCCAGCAGTCAACAAAGCTCGTCAGGCAACAATCAGGGCTCCTCCTCATCGTCCAACTCAAGCAATCAGTCTTCCAATCAAGGCAACAGTCAAGGCTCATCTTCATCTTCGAGTTCCAATAACCAGTCGTCGACTTCTACATCCAACACCTCTGGAGCTCAAAATTCCACAAGTTCTTCAAACTCGGGAACCACTACAACTTCCAAGCCCCAAGCACCTGATGGTGAATGTGAGCACACGGAAACTTATTTGCCCGACAAAAAGGACTGTGCTCGCTTCTACCGTTGCGTTGATAATGGCAATGGTGGTTTCGATAAAATTGCTTTTGATTGTGCACCTGGTACTGTTTGGGACCCCGACTCAAAGGGCTGCAACCATCCAACGGATGTCCAAAAAGAGCAATGCAAGGCCATGGCCGGTGGTGCAGGCAGTGCTTCAAACCAAAGTTCATCTTCCAATCAAGGCTCTTCTTCTAATCAAGGATCGTCCTCCAATCAAGGATCATCCTCTAATCAAGGGTCTTCCTCCAATCAAGGATCGTCATCCAATCAAAGTTCATCGTCGAATCAAGGATCATCTTCTAATCAAGGATCGTCATCCAATCAAGGATCGTCTTCCAATCAAGGGTCGTCTTCCAATCAAGGGTCGTCTTCCAATCAAGGATCGTCAGCTAATCAAGGATCTTCCTCCAATCAGGGTTCATCGTCTAATCAGGGATCGTCCTCCAACCAAAGCTCGTCGTCGAATCAAGGGTCGTCTTCTAATCAGGGATCATCATCCAATCAAGGATCGTCCTCCAACCAAGGATCTTCATCTAATCAAGGTTCGACCTCCAATCAAGGATCGTCTTCCAATCAAGGGTCGTCTTCCAATCAAGGATCGTCAGCTAATCAAGGATCTTCCTCCAATCAGGGTTCATCGTCTAATCAGGGATCGTCCTCCAACCAAAGTTCGTCGTCGAATCAAGGGTCGTCATCTAATCAGGGATCATCATCCAATCAAGGATCGTCCTCCAACCAAGGATCTTCATCTAATCAAGGTTCGACCTCCAATCAAGGATCGTCTTCCAATCAAGGGTCGTCTTCCAATCAAGGATCGTCAGCTAATCAAGGATCTTCCTCCAATCAGAGTTCATCGTCTAATCAGGGATCGTCCTCCAACCAAAGTTCGTCGTCGAATCAAGGGTCGTCATCTAATCAGGGATCATCATCCAATCAAGGATCGTCCTCCAACCAAGGATCTTCATCTAATCAAGGTTCGTCGTCGAATCAAGGAACATCCTCTAATCAGGGATCCTCTTCTAATGAAGGTTCCTCCTCCAATCAAGGAACGTCATCCAATCAAGGCTCGACCTCCAATCAAGGATCGTCAACCTCTAATCAGGGTTCTTCATCAAATCAAGGATCATCATCAAGTCAAGGATCATCCTCCAATCAAGGATCCTCCTCTAGTTCAGGAACGTCTTCCAGTCAAGGCTCATCCTCCAACCAAGGTTCTTCGTCGAATCAAGAGTCGTCGTCTAATCAAGGATCATCGTCTAATCAAGGTTCTTCGTCTAATCAAGGATCCTCTTCCAATCAAGGAACGACTTCCAGCCAAGAATCAACTACTACGACCCAGAAACCATTTAAGCCGGCAGATAAGTGCGAGAGCGAAGAGACCTTCTTAGCTAACAATGAAAACTGTTCGAAATTCTATCGCTGCGTCGATAATGGCAAGGGTGGCTTTACGAAAGTATCATTTACTTGCCCACCAAATACGATTTGGCATCCCGAGGCCAACAGCTGTAACCATCCATCACAAGTTGATATGCAAAGCCTTAAATGCAAGCGAGTCACCCCTGCCCAACCGGCAAGCGGCAGCAGTAGTAGTAACAGCAATACCCAACAATCGTCCACTTCATCCTCCACGTCATCATCATCAGGCAGCAGCACAACACAGCAAACCACATCGTCAAACTCCCAGTCTAGCAGCAGTACAAGCTCAACAACATCAGGCTCAAGTACCTCAAGTTCCACCTCAACCCCAATGCCGTCTGGTAGCTGTAAGGTTAATGGACAATTCTTAGGAGATGGTACGAACTGTGCCAAGTTCTATCGCTGCGTAGACAATGATAGAGGTGGTTTTAATACGGTGGCCTTCTTCTGCCCCCCTGGAACTGTATGGGACGGTCAGATTGAGGCCTGTAATCATGCCTGGGCCGTTAAAGACAAAAGCTGTGGCAACAGCGAAACCACTGAACGGCCAGAGATTACAGACTCAACGCCAAGTTACGGCGGTCAATCCTCGACCACTCCAAAACCAGCGGTAAAACCGTCTACGCTAAAACCAACTACTCAAGACACAACAACGAAGAAACCCTCTGCGCAGAAACCAACTACTCAGAAACCTGTTACACAAAAACCAACTAGCTCATCTGGGAATGTAGAGTGTAAATCTGAGGGTTTCATTGGTGATCCAAGCAACTGTGCCAAATTCTATCGCTGCATAAGCAATGGCAAGGGCGGCTTTAGCCAGGTGCCATTCCACTGCGCTGCGGGTACAGTTTGGGATCAGGACCTACAAACGTGCAATCACGATTTGAATGCGTGCAATCCAATCCCCGAAGATGGCGGTGGTAATGCTACCACTGAGTCTGATAAGGGTCCTTGTGACAATACCACGGTAAAGCCTACATTTAAACCGACTTCAGAGACCACCTTATCACCCAGCACATTGGAGCCCAGTATAACAAATCGTCCAACTGAGCCGGCTACGGAATCAACAACCGAACAGATTACAACCAACCAGCCTACCACTACATACAAACCTACAACAACAATACGGACTACGACGACCAAACAGACCACAAATGAAAATCAGTCCACTACTACAACATGGACAACTTCCACGGAAGCTTCATCAACTGAAACAAGCACTCAAACTACAACCATGATTCCCGAAACTACTACCAAGGTACCCAACTTGCCACCTGGCACCAAATGTAAGGGCGAAGGATTTATGGCTGATCCCAACAATTGCCGCAAGTTCTATCGCTGCCAAAAGACCGGCGAATCGTACTCGAAACATGAATTCATGTGCGCCAAGAATACAGGCTGGAATGAAGACTTGCAAACATGTGATCATGCTCAAAATGTGCCAGGTTGCGCGGGTCAAACTGAAGATCCAACAGAAGCTACAACTGAAATTACTTCTACTGAGGCCATAACAAAACCAACCACTATAGAACCACCAACAAAACCTACAACTGAAACAGTTACGAAACCAACCACTTTTGAGCCACCAACAAAACCTACAACTGAAACAGTTACGAAACCAACGGATCCTCCAACTAAGCCGACGACAGATAACCCAACCACTACAGAAAATATTTGGAAGCCAACAGACTCCACAATAAAGCCAACTGACGTGCCAACAAAACCTACTGATTATACGGATAAGCCAACGGAAATTCCCATTAAGCCCACTGACTATCCAGTCACTAAGCCAAGCACCACAGAAGCGTATCCAGAGACTTCAACTGGGTTTACAACATCATTCCCAGGCTATCCTCCAACTACAACTGAAGATAATCCGAGCACTACGCAAGAGTCAACAGTCAACTTCAAGTGCCCTGCTGAAGGTTTCCATGCTGATCCTGAGGATTGCAGTATTTACTATCGCTGTACAAAAACCAACGATAAATATCAAGTATACAAGTTCCGCTGTCCAAAGGGCACAGTGTGGGACACATCGCTGGAGACTTGCAACTACGCAGATCAGGTGTCTGGTAACTGCTCCTCTGGCAGCATGACTTCAACAGCAAGCCCAAGTGAGGCAACCACACCATGGACGGAGATGCCAACAAGCACTGTGAAGCCGGTGACAACAGTTAAGCCCGAGACAACAACTAACACGCCCAGCACCACAGGTGGGGTGGTTGACCCTACAACCACTAATAAGCCAGTAGAGACAACTACGGAGCAGGAGCCCAAGCCTTATCCAGAGCCATCAACCAACTCAAGTGCTCCATGTCCCACGACTACAGAGGACCAAAGCTTGTTTGTCTGCCCATCGGGCTTCCGTCGGCATTCCAAGCAGTGCGGCGTATTTTACCAATGCAATGAGAATTCAAATTCAAATCTAAATATTGTGCTGTTCCAATGTCCCAATGGTACTGTTTATCACGAAGCATCATGCCGTTGCGCCAAGCCAGGGCCGGACGACACCTGCAGCAACAACGACGTGTTGATCCCACGTACGCAGCTTTTCGAGGAGGAACCGCAACCGCTTAACCTGGCAAGTACACCGTTATCTATCAAATTGAGCAGCTTTACTTACGTAAAATCTCTTTGCTTAGGTGCAAATCCATTCCACAGCGCCGCTTTGCCCGGAGGAGGGGCACTTTGCCCTGAACCAGGATGAATGCAGCCAGGTGTTTGTCAAATGCGGCTACTCCCAGCAGACAGGACATATCGAGGGCCAAATATACCGCTGCCCGCAAGGCTTTGCCTACTGGAATGTGAGCCGCCGCTGCGAGCCTGCCAAAAAGCTAACCAGCTGCACCCCAGCCACATACAATGTGGGCGATAGTGTGCCGCTGGAGTGGGTCAACATTGGCCACAGACGTCGCAATCTTCGCATCTAAAACACATACACATAGCATTAATTTAGAAATTGTAAAAGGCAACGCATTTGTTTGCTGCGCAAGCTCACGACTCCGAGGCAGCTTGCGTAGCAAATGACGAGCCAAAAGACTAGCTTAGGTTGTAGTGCAATTACAATAAGTTTAACATGGGCTTATAACAATTTCTGGTGACGGTACTATCCGTGATTTTTCTCCAACTCCAAACTCCTATTGAAAGAAAACAGCATTTTTTGTGTTTCATTTCCTGTAACAATTGCATTGGCACAGCCTTTCACACGCACAACATGTTGTTGCTTTTCACGCAGTAATTGTATTTATATTAAAACTAACGTTCTGAACGCCATATTTAGCTTAGTCTATGCTTAAAGTTTACAATAAATTAAAACATATACAAAAACGTTCACATGAGCTGAAGCTTAAGGTGACTACGGTGTTTAGTGTTTTCTTTTTTTTCTCTAACTACGAGCCAGTCATTTCTTCTTCTTTGCTACTGGTGGGGCCGCTGGATTGTCGCCCTTGTAGAATTCCTTTAGCAACGCCATGGCCTCTTCTGAACGCACACCACCAGTTATGTTGATCCGCTGACCAACCACGGCAGCCACATCTATGACCGTCTTGCCGCCGAAACGATCATTCTCGCAACCATAGATAATCTCCTTGACGGCCAGCGTGTGCAAGGCAGCAGAGCACATTATGCAGGGCTCCACAGTGACTACAACACTGATTTCGCTGAACACCTGACGTGCCGGCAGGCGCTTCTCACGGCAGTAGGCCAAGGTGGCATCGATGCATATGAACTCCGCATGACGTGTTGCATTCCGGTGTACATTCACTTCGTTCCCGCCACGTGCGATTACCTTGTCGTTGTGCACAAACACACAACCAACGGGCACTTCGCCGGCGTCACGTGCTCGCCGCGCTTCCACTAAAGCATCCTCCATAAACGCGGCCATTTGGCATGGAAATATCTCAAATTAATTTTGGGCAAACAAAAACAGAGCAGACTACGACGCCACGACACAGCAAGCAAAAAATAACAAGCAAATATCAGCTGTTCACCGTCACGATGGTTGGCAACTCAGCCGCCAGCAATAGGGTAACACTGGCCAATAGCTTTATCGGAATGCAAAATATTTGTATTTAATTAACTTATTTATAGATGTATTTTGTTGTTTGTTTAACTTAATCAATAAGAAATACCTTGCGCCTCATTGCGCATAAACTTGATTAGATCCTGCTCCTCCAAAAAAGCCTGAGCCTTTTCTGACCAGTTAGTATTGTGGAGCGACCGCGGACTTGGATGTGGTAAGCGGCTCACGGAAACTGTTTGACAATACTTCGATCTGTTCAGCACCTTGTGAACATACTCTCCTACTGCCACCACAAATTGCGGCTGCAACAGTTGCAGCTGTTTCTCTAATGCATCCAAGCACACATCTCGAATCTGCTGCTTTAATTGGCCTTTCAGTTCGCTTGGTGTTATGTTGTTTCCCTCTTCATCAAAGAATGCCAGGGGGCAAAAGTTGTGGACAAAGCATTGTTGCGAAAGGGTATCTAGACTGCCGGCGGCCAAACGCTCAAACAGCTCCCACAACCGCACACCGCTCGGCTCCTCAATCTTGCAATTCAATCCGTTAACAGGGCGTTTACGATGCAGCAGAGACGGCTGTAGCACCTCGCCAGACAGATGCATCATGTCGCGCACGGTGCGAACGTTTCCAAAAGGTACCTAGATAAAATGTACAAACACAGTAAATGTGACCTAGCAAGAGAAGCTGTTGAGCGCACTTACGCCTGTCTGGCCCATGCCGTTTGGCCCAGGATTCATGCCTATAAATATGACTCGCTTGGGCCCGCATAAATAACGACTTAAATAAGCACAATGCAACGACGATGCATACTCGACTGGATTGTAAGTACATGTAATGCCCGTGGGCAGTCCAAGCGTAGCCAGTTGTTCATTCAACTGGCATTCAATTTTATAAAACTGCATCCAAAATGGTTGGACAAACAGTCCTGAGGTTATTGCATCAGGCTGAGTTGTTTTCGACTTCTTCAGGTCAAGTGCTGCCGCTTTCTTCTTCTCCAGCTTTCGTTTCAACATTGCAAAACTTTCAATTTTTAAGTTTTTGAGTGCACCCCGATTTGATTTTACAAATTAAAAACAATTTAGCTAATTTTAACACCGGACACCTTTTGCCGCGTTGCCAACTGATTTAATTTTACAACAGCGCTGCTAAGAAATGCGCGAATGCTGCAAATTTTCTTTTAATCAAACAAGCGAACTGTATTTTGTAATATATGTATGTATTAATATTAAATGCGCATAAAGGTTATTTTAAGGTAGCGTATGTGTGAACTCGTCCAGCTTGCTCTCATTGTCCTTAACGAATTTCGATTTAAATTGCTTAATATTCTTCTCTATGTTGATGTTAACAACAGTACAAAATATTTTCAGAAATTGCTCCACCTAAAAGCAAATCGGTGAACTGATAAGTATATGTTAGCTTTGTTGTCCGTGGCGTCTGCGCACTTACAGTTAAATCCTTTTCTGGACAGCCCAATTTAACGAATTCACATTGCGGAGCGTGCTTCAGATGTTCCTTCCAAGGATCATCCTCCGACTCCCAGCCGTCTAGTGTTTTACCGCACACAAAGCAGGTAGCCGTATCGTTTTCACGTTTGGTGCCAGTCCAATAGAACCCCGCCTCAGCCATCTGCAAGATAATCGGTGTATTAACAAAATAGTTTGCTACCAGATTCACGACTCGCTTGCCTTGCCAATGCTACATGTGGACTTAGCTGAAAAGGGCCAGTCCTTGAAACTCTCTACGCGATGCTTTTCCAGCAAGTTGAGCTCGCGAAATGTGTCGAGCTTTGTTTCATCCATTAAAGTTGTTGGATCCATTACATAGATTGGTTATTAAATAAAAACTATTTTAAAATTCTTCTACACACAAAAACAAACAGGGCCCAAGCGTAGCGCGTCGCTCTTGCCGTTTGGCAACCCTGAAATTTTATGTTAGACATAACAGAGAAAATAACATAAGCGTTGTTAAACTGTTATTAACAGAAGCAAGTAATTAATTCATGAAATATATTTAAAATTCGATTATGTTATGCAAATAATCAACTTGCATAATGAAAAAGGATATTTATTAAATGTTAGATTATGTCAGGCAAATAATCAATTAGAATATTGAGTTTTATTTAAGAACTCTTCTGGAGAGAAGCGATGCGAAAAAAATTTATTGAGAGTTAATTTGAATTCAACTGACTCCGATCTACAATAGGCATTAAAGTTATCGATTATTATTAATATTTGAAAGAAAATAAAACAACAGTTTAACATTACAGAACGAACTGCACTGTAAACATTTCAGATTGATTGTCGGTTCTATGCAAAGAAAAAATCAACGTGTTGATATCTTACTCCTAGCAAACATGATTTTAGATGCAGAAAACTTATATTCTAGTTTTAAAATATTCGCGATGACCCTGCCAATATTTTTAATGAACAGAAGCATAGTGAATTTTAAATTTGTTGGTTGCGAATTTTCCAGCACCGTCAGGGTTTTTGTCAACACTGGCAGCCTGGGACAGCTGTTCACTCTGTTTTGTCATTTGTTGTTGTATATTTTTTGCTACACATAAACATTAAATAAATGAAAATATAAAAATAGTCAAAGAAAACGTTACCTGTTTATTGTTTGTTATTGAGTTTTACCCAGATTCTAAACATATTATGCACTGCAGTGGTCCAAAAACTCGCTTATATTTTACATTCTCACACACCAAAATTGATTAAGAAGAAAAAAGAAAGTGCTTGGGCCACAGAGCGAAAACTGAAAGGCCTTGGAACGATTCGCAACCTAAATAAAATTGCACTCACAGGACGCCAGCGCTATTTGGCACTTGGCAATGAAATTGTGCACTGGCAATGAACTCCAGACTTGAAGGCACTCAACAGCTCCAGGGGCACTCCAGCCCCATGGCCACCGAACGCAATCAGAGTAGTCCCAAAATGGAAATTGCAAAACTAAACCATGAGCTCATCGAGGAATGCAAACGCAGCCACGAGGACTCCATCTTGCCGCGCCATTTACGCCATGAGCTCGAAAAGTATGTATGTAGTTAATAAAAAATGTTTACATATACGCTACCAAAAATTGACCGAGCTACTCGTACGTTTTTTTCGTCCGTTGATAAGCGCTAAGCGACCAATTACCGTATAATCAATATTTTTGTTGCTATTGTTATTTTGTTGTGTTTTTTGTGTGTTCCGTAAAGGCAGACGCCTTATCAGCAGCTTGAGTACCCAACAAAATTTCATCCTAATCGCACTTCCTACTCTGCAGGCATTCACGTGAGTCCCGACGCGAGGTGGTTAGAAAACAACGCAATGGCTGTGCGCCACTTTTTATTGCCTGCAAACGTGGCGCAGTAGTAATTGCCGAGTATCTCATAACCATGTGCGAGGCGGACATTGAGCAGCGTGGACACTTTGAGGTGCCCGAGGACAATAGCTTTCACCATGTCTCGCCGCTGTGGGCAGCTGTCGTATCCGGCAAGCTGTCCATGGTTAAGTATCTGGTGCGGATCGGCTGTGACATAAATGCCACATCAGATTCGGGTTCAACGCCAGTGCGAAGTGCCTGTTACATGACGAACACAGATATTGGTATGTGGAATCCATTCTTCATATTTCAATTTGTTGCTCACTCTGCATGTTTAACAGTCAAGTTTCTGGTGGAGAACGGTGCAGACATCAAGAAGCCAAACATCAATGGCGGCACATGCTTGATTAACTCGGTGCAGTCCGTGCAGCTTTGCCTGTATCTGGTGCGCAAGGGAGCCGACATCAATGCACGCGACATACAGGACAAAACGGCGCTACACTATGCCATACAGGAGCATCGACTGGACACCACCAGAATGCTTATAGAGCAGGGTGCTGATCCCTTTGCTAAGAGTCGCTACGGTGACGATGCACTGCGAACTGCCTGCCTTAAGG